AAAAAAAAAAAAAAAAGAAAGAAAGAAAGAAAAGAGCAAACAACCCCATCTATCTTTGGGCAAGAGACATGACCAGAACCTTCTCCCAAGCAAGCAGACAAATGGCCAATAAGCAGGTAGGGGGAGACCCAGCAGCGACGGGGGCCGTCTGGACGGTGCGTCTGAAGGCTGCGGCACAGAGGGAGGGCAGGAGGGCCTTGGGCTTCTGACCTTTGGTGCCTGCTTGGAAAGGGGTGCTGCTAACACAAGCATGAACGTGAATATTGAATGTGAACACAGACACAGGCGTGCTGTTAAGCAGGTTGTGTCTGAGGACACAAGCAGGGCATTTCTGGGGCATTTCTGGGGCATTTGCCAGCACGTAAATGGAGATTTGGTACAAGATGAAAATCAAGAGATACACCTTTGGCCACTATTAGAACAAAGGTAATAGGAAAAATGGATGTTAATGTATACAGCTATTACAGCTTTAATAATAATTAAAAAAGAAAGAAACGGATGGGCACGATTTTTGGAAGCATCATTGAAAGAAGGAACGAAACATTTGTGCTAGAAGAAAAACTCTCAGTTAAAAGGGCCGTGGAAAGGGCACAAAGACAACAGTGCTAGGACGTGGCTGAGATGCGTGAGGGACGGGAGTGCCACCGTGACACCCACGAGAAGGCCAGCAGAGCTGGGCCAGAGAGCACACTCGCCTCCTAAGAATGATACCTGCTGACACCACCACATTTCATTATTTTTCTTCAAAGTTTTTTTGGCAGTGATCTTTACTTTTCTTGGATATTAAATAGAAAATATTTTTAGTGGCATCTGTCACCAGAGGGTGCTAGAGTTATTTAGAAAAAACCCCATAAGCCACTGGCTACTGTGAGCAGCCGGTACCCTGACACACGTTTAAAAGACAAAGCTTACATTTTCCTTAATGGAAAAGCAACTTTAAAACGAGAAATAGTCACCACTTAATCATCATTTGGAAACAGCATTTTTAATTATCTCATTACTCTCACCTGATCAGAAGTGGGAAGATATAAAAAGGTTCCTTTTAAGAAATCAAGATGCAGTTTTCCTAACGCCTGCTGGAGAGCGTTTCACCAGCAACTCGGTGTATGCCCACTACCCACCCTTACTCCCCGTTGGGAGAGATTTTCTCTTCTTCAGACTTCATCTAGCAAGTGATTTTCAACCCACGTGCCCTGGCACACTAGTGAGAGGGTCTTAGGTGTCCACAAAGAATTTTAAAGATCATCAGTTAAACTATTTTTGAAAGAAGTTCAAAGCACAGTAAGTATATTCTCTTTTTTGGATCAACCTAATTTAAGTGGGCTGTGGAAGTTTAACTATGGGTTCAAGGGTGCCAGGAGAGTGAGCTGAGATGTTAGACTGATAAACATCAGGCAGCCCTGGCTGAGCACACAGAGGACTCCACGATACCTCAGCAGTAGTGAGAAAAATCTTGTCCGTGATGTGTCTCAGTCCACAAGCCACAACTCCGAGAGCAACTCCAGGGAACACGTAGGAATTATTGCCCTGGCCGGGATACAGGGTCCGTCCATCCGGGAGAGTGACGGGGTCAAACGGGCTGCCGCTGGCAAAAATTGCACGCCCCTACAACACAGACACACAACCAGCTTTAAAAAGGAAAATATTTTAAGGCAAATATAATGAAGTGCTCCCCAGGCTAAATAATGAATCTTGAAAGAAGCCTGTGTTTTCATTAACTTTCTACTGAGTCTGGGCGAGAATCAATCGTGGTGTTGACCAGCAAGTCTGGATGGTTCTTTGACTTCCTCTTCACTCCCAGGACAGTGCAAAGTCCAGGATCCCTGAGACCATCATGTGTCATCTGGGTTAGTCCCACCCACAGGCTCATCAGCTATGTCTACGCAGGCTTCCAAATACAGATTTATGAGGATGAAATGACATGTTAATATTAAAGCATTGAAAATAATGGCACTTTAGGGATTTATATTTTCCAGGATTAGGGATCAACATGTTTACAAAGTAAAAACTGGAGTAGGTTTTATTTATGCCCTTGGGAAGCTCAGCACCGACCCAGCGCCTAGCCCGTCCTTCAAAGCAGTCTGGAACTCTGCCTGGAATGGCCATCGGAGCTGTCATCACACAAAGTCACATGGGTAAGATCACAAACTCATCCCAGAAAAAGTGCTTCGAAGGGCGGCCCAGGAGCTGGTGCTGGAGCAGAGCTTCCCAAGGGGAGTCGTCGGAGGTGAACAGCGGACTCAGCAGGGAGGCATGCAGCACTTTTTCTAGGATGAGTTCACAGACTTCATAGTCTGACCTTGTATTGTAACCCTTACTAACTATTACCTTTCACCTACGCCTGCACCAGCAGAAACTCACAGCCAGCAACAGGCAGACCTTTCCTTTCTCTGTAATCATCTCACCAAAGTAGTGGCGAAATTTTCAGCCTCAGACTCTCAGCGTTTCACATGTCACGACGCAGGACATCAGGCTCGGCCGTGAGAAAAGGCTGAGGCCATTTAAATCAGACATATGCAAATTCTGAGACACACAACTGCACACATTTGGCTAACTTCGTTTATATTTGCTGCACACGAGTCTCTAAATCCTTGAGGCCTACTGGCATGTGCTGGGACAGAACAAGGAACTGGAGACAAGTTCATCATGTGAACAGTACAAGGCACCGCTCAAACGTTTGCTTAAAGGGCCTTTTGTCTTCCCATTAAGGATTCAAAGACCACCAAATAATGTGGGGCAAATTCCCCAATGCAGAGATGAGATAGCAATGAAAACTGTAGAGGCATAGAAGGCATCCTACACAAGAGAGATCAGTAACGCGGAGGCCCTGAGCCAGAAAGCGTTACCTCTGACAAGCGGCCTTCACGCAGAGCCCTTGAGCCCCAGCCGTGCAGTGACGCCCCGTGTGGTGTTTACCTGTCCCGTTCATTTTGAATTTATATGCAAAATAAATGTTTGAGATACATGTGACTCAACCTCTATTTTGTCCCAATGATATTTTCAGGTCTTTGATAGGAAAAAGGCTCTTGTTAACTTATCAGATACCTAATAGAGCAAGAGTGTTCACAATAAATCAGGGCGGGCCCCACCCCAGCTGGGTGGCAGCAGGGGAGCTGCCCAAAGGCTACACCACAGCATCAAAACCCAAACCCAGGATTTAGCAAAGCAAAAATAAGGCTGTGGCTTTATCCTGTACACGTCAATGTTTGGGACTGGCCAGTTGAAAGGTCAATCAACATCGAGAACCAAGGTCTTTCATTTCTACTTAACTTTTGGTTCAAATCTTAGATAATTCCAAACCACCTGAGGAAAGTTATCACTGCAACATTACAAAGTTTATTTTATTAAAGAAGAAGATTTATGCAACATTTTAGAAAAGGAAGTAGCTCTCATTTCTCTGGTCTGTACACTTTTCTTACAATCTTGGTTGTATAATTTTTAAAGGTTTTATGATAAGCAAGTCAGAAATCCTAGACCTCCCTGTAACAAATAAAAATCTGATTCCTAAGATTTTAGTTAAGCTTTTGATTTACCTGAGTTACTTTATAGCACTGCTCTGCAGAACATTCTGCTTTGCTAGTTGGGTTACTCAAAGCGAAAATAATCGGCCGTTCATTGAAGGCAGCCATGTCCTTGAGAATCTGCTCTGAGAAGGCGCCACCAATGGCGGCAACACCTAAAGAGGAAATCAGAAACCGGTGATCAGGCCCATCGCTGTTAATTCACCCAAGGAGCCCCCTCCAGTATGAAGAAATGTGTCAGATGATTTTCTAAGAGACCCTGAAAAAATACTGGGCAGAACAGTCACAATTAAAGTATAGTGACAAAAAGAATTAAGTTTGTTAATACCAATAATTTTTAGTCATAAATCTACAAGTATCTATAAAAACATTTAGTATATGTGCTGCCGAAGCAAGCACTATAAAAACATTTAAAGATAAAATTTGATTCATAATATAGTAAGAGTTAGTAGCTAATCACTTAGAATTCTGATTACAAGTATTTGTATCAGGAAATTAAAATGTGGGCTATATATATGCTCTCTCTATAAGGAATTCTGTGAGTCTACTTTAGTCTATTCAGGCTACAAAGCAATTATGTAATCAGGTGTGGTTTTTGATTTTTTTAGAGACAGCGTCTTGTTCTGTCACCCAGGCAGAAGTACACTGGCACATCTGTAGCTCACAGCAACCTCAAACTCTTGGGCTCAAGTGATCCTCCTGCCTCAGCCTCCTGAGTAGCTGGGACTACAGGTGCCCGCTACCATACCTAGGTAATTTTTTTCTTACTTTTTTTTAGAAATGAGGTCTTGCTATGTTGCCCAGTCTAGTCTCAAACTCCTGGCCTCAAGTGATCCTCTTGCCTCAGCCTCCCAATCTGCTGGGATTACAGGCAAGAGTCACTATACCTGGCCTTAAAAAGCAATGCTAACACTTAGAAGAATCATCTGACTCAATTGCAAAATTGAAGTCTTAAGAGAATTTTAACAGATGAATTAGCACAAAGGAAATGAAAAACAGCCAAGATTACGGATAGAACATATTCTGTAAAAGATCATACTAAGAGCCTAAGGAAGCTCCTGGTGTGGAGTTCAGCTGTTCCATTAAGGTCATCATTGTTCTCAATACGGTTGTTTGTTTCACAGTTCCAGGAACAGAGGATAATACAGATGTAAAAACAGATGTTATATATGCACAAAATAAGGACCAAGTTTCATGAATTCCTCTGAGCTTACTGCTTTAGACTTGACCACATTACAGGTGTTAGCACCTGCAGTGTGTGAGGACGTGGTGAGCTCTGTAAGCCATATAAGGTGGCTCTGTCTTCCAGGAGGTCCAGTGAGGTCAGTATCTCCCCCCCCGCAGCACCGCTGACACGTGCACTGGCCACTCCCTGCCATGGCGCTGTCCACACGTTCCCGATGCTCAGAGGCACCTGGCCTCTGCCCGCTGGAGGTCAGTGCTCTCTCCCTCCTCTCTGACCTTCCTCTCCCAGCAATTATTCCCCAGCCCCTGGGGAACAAATCTCTCCTGATTGAAAACCTCTGTCTGTCTGAAGTGACGAGGTCCAGCAAAGTGCCCACTACACCAGGTGTCAGCCAGCTTGCGGAGTCCGCAGAGAGCCAGACACTTCAGCAGGACCAGCCACAGCCAGAGCGAAGACTGGACTTAACAAGGCGAGGTCTCTCCTGGGGCCACTGCTTGAGCAACTCAGTTGTGTGAATTCCAAGGGTCAGAGTTTCAAGAAAGCTGGATTGTCCTCCAAAGATCAGTGGTAAGAAAACCAACCAGGTCAGATGGGGGTGCAGAGAGACCGAGAGGGAGAGGAACGTTTACCTATGAGCGCAGTTGGTTTTATTTCTTGAACAACGGCTTCCAGGTTCTTCATTTCCTTGTGTTCGTGGGCAAACACCTCCTTCTCTGGTGTCAGGGAAGCACGGTGCTAAGTGGGGAAAATAGGAGAAGTTACACAGCTGCCAAATGTGCGTGGGGCCCAGAGATGCACACAGGGGATCACATGTGATAAGAATCACCAGTATTTACGTCCCACACTTCTAGGTGCTGTGCCTAATACCTTCCCTTACCGCTCCTGTCCAACTGCCAGGATTACTTCCTTCTTTCTTCCTACAAATATTCACGTGTCCATTTTCTAGGCAATGCCCACGAACAGTGAGCAAAACAAAGTCTTTACTTCATTCAAGTAATTAATACTAAAAACTGTAACTCAACAGACATTTGTGGGAAACCAGTGTTAACAGTGGTACAGAATGTCAGTGACTGGCCCGCACTGCTGGCTGCACACCAGCCTTGACGACCTCATCCTCCAGCCTCTCGACGTCAGCTGCAGCTCCGGCTCATACGCCGAGGAAGAAGGGAACCTGCAGCCACGTTCACAGCACTGTGTGTTTCACTTTCTGAGTCATGTGTCATCCAGTGAACATTTAATCATAATATTCTAGCTACAAATGTTTGAGATTTGACTCCACAATACCTCACTGCCTACTTTTATATGGTACTTTGTGACTGTCATGCATTTCATTTGAGCCCCTCCACAATTCTGAGAAGTAGAGCCAGTGTCAGCAGAGTCATCTCACACCTGGGGACCTAAGGCCTCGTGGTCCAAGCCACCTGCTCAAGGTGGTTGTACAGAACTCAGTCTTCCCAACACAGCGCCCCTCTGCCGAGGAGGAAAAGCTTTGTGAGTAGTATGTCAGACTGTCTGCAAATTAAGCTGGACGATGGTACAGTTTTCGGGCTTTAAAAGGTTATTTTATTTCTGTTTTTTAAAAGCAAAACATTGAATTATAGAAAATTATATATGAAACATGAACCTCTCTGCGCCTGTCTCCTCATCTGCTCTGAGTGAGCAGAATGAGACTTTTTACCTTATCAGGTTGCTTCTGGGTTAAATCTCTAGTCCCCAACTTCTGGGCCACTGAGTGGGGCACATGGCCTGGTAGGGGCAGGCTGCAGAGACCACCCGTCCACTGTACACCCCTCCGTCCCTCAGCCCTCCAACCCTATCCGTGGAAACCCCACCTTGCACGGCACTTGGGAACTCAGCTCACAGCAGGAGTAAGAGGAGGGCGGTGAGCAAAGCAGCTTCATCTGGGTTTACAGCTGCTCCTACTGCTGGCCCCGCCCAGCCCTGCCCAGGCCCCGCCCAGGCCTCCCCACCCCACCCCACCCCACCCCACCCCGCCCTATGCCCTGTCTATGGAAAACTGTTTTCCATCAATCTGGTTCTTGGTGCCAGAAAGGTTGGGGGCCACTGGGCTAAATGAAATGTAATACAGGTAAAGGGCTCTGGGCCGGTTCACAGAGCTCATGCTAGTTGTTGCTGTTGTAATTAAAATTATTATGAAGAAGATGAAAAATATCATAATTTCAGCACTTCTAATTTTGGCATATTTTCTTCTAGTCTGCTATAAAGTGCTATTTTTGTACCACTGTTTTCCATGATGACCTTGGACCGAATGGCTCTCACCATTACACATTTTTGAGCTGGAAAAGTTATCTTGCCCTTTCTCTCTGTACATCAAACCCAGGGCATCTGCGATGCTGCGGGAAAGACCTCACTTAGCTCATCCAGAATCAAACCTGACGCTTCCTCTTTGTACTGCCTTCAGCAGGGAATGGGAGGCTCCAGGGATATTGAGTTGTGAACCTTATCTATAGTCTTGCTCGCCACGTTTATTTTAAAAGAAAAGATATGGCTCGGCGCCTGTAGCTCAAGCGGCTAGGGCGCCAGCCACATACACTGGAGGTGAAGCCCAGCCCGGGCCTGCCAAACAGCAAAATGCAAAATACAAAATACATGACAAATACAGCCAAAACAATAGCCGGGCATTGTGGCAGGTGCCTGTAGTCCCAGCTACTCGGGAGGCTGAGGCAAGAGAATTGCTTAAGCCCAAGAGTTTGAGGTTGTTGTGAGTTGTGACGCCATGACACTCTACCGAGGGTGACATAGTGAGACTCTGTCTCAAAAAAATAAATTAAATAAAAGATATATGAAATAATTCTTTATATAAAAGAATCATATTAATTTTCTTTCATGAAGCATCAAATTGTACAAGGAAGCTCATCCACTATCATTGCCTTTTTAGAGTTAGTCAAAGTTGCAGAAGAACAACAGGTGCTGTGAGCCTACACTGGGCAGCAACACTGAGCCCTTTATACACAACACTTCTGTTGTGTTTATAAGGCAGGACTTTTTAAAAATTCCTTTTAATAAGGCGGCACCCGTAGCTCAGTGGGTAGGGCGCCGGCCCCATACACCCAGATTAGCCGGCTTAAACCTGGCGCTGGCCAGCTAAACAACAAAGACGACCTCACAAAAAAATAGCTAGGCGTTGTGGTGGGCGCCTGTAGTCTCAGCTACCAGGAGGCTGAGGCAAGAAAATCGCTTAAGACCAGGAGTTGGAGGTTGCTGTGAGCTGTGACACCACAGCACTCTACCGAGGGTGACATAGTGGGACTCCTCATCAGAGTGTGAGTGTCATCCCAGCATATAAAAAGTGGCTGAGCCGAATGATAATCTATCAGTCACAGAGAAGAAGAAGAGGTCTGTGAAGTGCTTTTAAAGAACGCGCCTCGGATCTTCTTAATCATCAGTCTTTAGCTAACAGACCAAATTGGCCCCAGTTCCTCCTCCTCCCTATCCCATCAATCCTCTTGTCATCCAACTCTGTAGTTTCTTCCACCAAAGGCAGAGTGTACCTTCCTCTCCCACGATTGGACTTGAACATGTGCCCAATAAAAATAACCTTCTAAAGTCTGAAGTGGACCTCACGCAAACCCCAGGAGCAGATCCTGCCACACAGACGGATCTCACCGGCCAGGGGTCTCCTGCCTCTGCCCTGCTGCTGACTCAGAATCCACATCTCAGCCAAACAGGAAAGCTGCCAGTGACAGGGGTCTGCTCAGTAGGAGTGTGGGCGGAAGAGAGAGCGTCCAGCTTTGGGGCAGCCTGACGACTGCCCCTGCCCACTGCCCATCCTGTACTGCTCACCTTAGACGAGTCTGGCCAGCTGGACCAAGGAAGACAAGAGGCTTAAGAAGTGGATGTGGTCCTGACCTGTGGCTGAGAGTCACCCATCTGACCCCCGGTCAGTGGGCAGTTGTAACTGCTGCGTGTCACCGAGATCCCGTGGTTGTCAGCAGCACAGCTGACTGACTGATACAGGAGGGACTTCCATGTTGTCCACATATCCCACCTTTTTCCTCTCCTTAATGTTGTCCCTTCCTTTCTTTGGGAGCAAGAGGTCTCTCTCCCCGAAATGATTTAATGGAAAGAACGTGTCTGAAACCCATGGGCTGCCTCAGTGCCCTCGTCCCTGCCTTCATTACTTGTCTAAAGTAATTCTTAGAAAGAAAAGAGCGATTCTGGTCATGGATAGGACTAAGAATTTGGAAATGTGTGACGGTCATGATTTTTTAACTATATAAATTATCTTCAAACTATTTCTGGAAGTAGTACAAGTTCAGATTTATGACTGTTTTGATTCTTATATGCGAAACTTGCAGGAGAGGTACAAAATAAAGTGGTGGGTGGGGAGGCGTTTCCGGGAAATAACAGCTTTGGCTTCGAGTATTTGGCACCCAGTGTGATGTGGTGTTGGCCTGTTTCCCCCAGCAATGCACATGCACAGTCAGATGTAAAGGCAAGACCAGGCTAAGAACTAGGCAGACACCACAGAACTCCAAGGCTTCCAGTGTGACTCTGCTTGTACCTGAGGCTACCCTGTATCCCCAGACTCTCTTGCAGCTGGAGTTTCCCAGTTAAACACTTCATCATCTTCCCAGCACTCGAGAGGAGAGGTGGGCGTCCAGAGCCCAGGCCACCAGGTGGGTGTCCTGGAGGCCCAGGAAGCATCTGGTTTTTCTCAGCTGGATATGCAGTCTGCAGTGACTGTGCCCCTCTCCCCCAGAGGTGGTACGACCTCTGCCTCACAGTGGGCACAGCTACTGTGGCCGACAGCTTTCCTGTTTGTGGCTGAAGCGTGGATTCTGCAGCCAGCAGCAGGAGCAGAGGCAGGAGAGTCCCTGTGATGGGACAGCGAGACCTGCTCCAGGAGGCTCAGCATGGAGCCAACTTCAGAAGTTTAGAGATTTTCTTTTTGAAATGTTTTCACAGACAAGGGGATGGGTCTAATGCAGGCTGCTAGTTTCTCCAACAGAGAAAAAAAAATCTTGGGATAATTATTCACCATTCTAAACTACGTATAGTCATCTCAATGAAATACGATAGGATAATCTTGAGGTTTGCTGAGAAAATCTGTATTTGTAGAGAAGACTAAGTGAATTACAGGCTTTGCCTATAGGTCCTTTTAGCGTTCCACCCAGCAGAAGGTAAATGTGTTTGTAATACAATCTGATACATTTATCAGATTATCTGAATATGTCGTATTGCTTTTATAACCAAATACCGAAATTCTTTTCATACTGTGACAGAGAATTCTAATTGCCCATCAACATCCAGTCGTTCCTATTTTTTTTTTAACCATATATTTACTTAAATTCTTTTCTTTCTAATACCACCATCTCCCAGTTTCCCCCGGCTCCCTGGCTCCCCAGGTGGACACTGC